AAAGATTTAGAAATTTGAGAAAAATATATATATATATATATATATATATATATATATATATATTGTATAAAATCTTTTTTTATTCGTTAATTCTATAAAACATTTGAAGAAAGACTTTATCTACTTATACACTTTTCCCTTTTCCCTAGTTTTCATCGCTGTCCGAGTTTAACAGAATAAAAAATGCTTGAGCATCGCGTAAAGCACATACATTATTCATGGCGAGTGTCATCATGTAACTTTGCGATTCAAACTCCTCCCCTCCATCACCTCCTTTGGCTCTTTCAGACTCGCTCATTCCGTCCATCGACACAACGTGTTCCAAAGCTCACTAAAAGCACGAATACTTAATTGAAAAGCCTCATGAAACCAAATCGTTACGTTTAAAGTACGTTACATTCGTGTCTACTTGGTGAGTTGCGAAGCTGAAAGGCCAGTACACAGTGTTTGCATGCTCATTAATGAGCACGACGTGCTCATACCACCCTTGCGAACATGTAATCGTTCGTGGGATTGTGTTTAATCGTTACCCACAAATCGACGAGTTTTAACGCGAGAAGAGCACACTGCCATACAGCCTAAATCGAAGTCAATAATTTCCGAATAGAGTTTACGTGCGAATCGTCTAACCCAATCGAATTATTCGAGAACAACCAACCATGGGCAATCTATGAAAATAATTCCAAGTTATTCTTTGTGATAAAAATCTATTAATTCTTTTGAACGTATGTACATGTAATGTAATTATTTAACATGTAGTTCAGTTAAAAAAGAAACTAGGATGAAATAATTATAAGAAGAATAAAAAAATAATACTTACATTTATATTAAGTAAAACTAATTAAAAATTCATTATCTAATACATTTTCACAATATATTGTAAAGATATTTCAGATGTTTTTCTTTTAAAATGAAAACTTGCAACATCTAAGTATTCATAATACTGTTATTCATAACACTGATATTTTCAGTACTGTTTCTAGTAAATCTCACTAGCGATTTTATGCATAAATTCAAATAATATTCGTAATGATTGAACAGAACAGCATGAAATAATTGAATTCTTATGTCTTCCTTCTTCACCGTTTCTTCATAATTAAATTGGATCTACTTATTCAAATATTATTATAGAAATTAATATGGGATTCGTTCTGCTTAATAATAAACTTTTTTCTTTCTTTCTTCGTTTTTCAAGAAAAAAAAAAAAAAAAAAAAGAAAAAAAAAAGAAAAAAAAATGCAAGAACTTTAAAAAATAAGTCTACCGTATTACACATATATATATATATATATATATATATATATATATATATATATATATATATATATTGACCCCTAATTTCAGAAGTATTCCGAAAAGGCTTTAAAAGTTACGACGAAATTAGGAAGGCCGCTTTTATCTCTGACGCGGATCGTTGCAGCAGGTCATAGTATCCGTTTAGTATTGTACTATCTCCTACCTGAAACTTTTCGCTTTCCTGTGGTTTTAGTAAATTGGCTTGGCGAAAGTGAAACGAGCGTAACGACGACGATGAAGAGGACGTTGTGAGATAGTACGGGGAGAAAGGAAAGTAGTTGATAGTAGCAGAGGAGAGAATTGTTCCTATCCTTTTTCCAAAATTTTCAGAAATTGCAAATTTGCATAAACATACCCGACTGGACCAAACAATCCGTGAGAATTGCAACTGCAGTAGAAAAGAAGGAAAGACTTTTCTTTTATTTAACTTAGTTCCGTAATGAACGCATAAAGCTACATTAGCATGATTAACTTTTTTCTAGATTTTCTCTCTTTCTCTCTCTCTCTCCCTCTCCCTCTCTCTCTCTTTTTTTCTTTTTCTTTCTTTCATAAAAAGCTTTATTTTAATTTAAGTTAAATGATAAGAGTAAGTAGTAATTTGAACCAACTCAAGTTAGTTGGCCACGTTTAAGATGAGAGATAATCTTCAAGTTAAGAGAAAGAAAAAGCGAGAGACAGAAAGAAAGAGAAAGAGAGAGAAAGAGAGAGAGAGAGAGAGAGAGAGAGAGAGAAGATGCGGAATAAATCGATTTGATGATAATAAATGCCGTCGTAGGGAGAATGAACGTAGAGATATTACGAACGGTAGATGATAATGAAGGCGACCGATAAAATCGACGAATAGTGCTGTCGATGATGCCTATGCGAAAGAGAAAGATAGAAAGACATATATCAACGTGACGTTTTACTGACAGAATATTTAACTCTCAGCGATAAATTGAACGTTAATCACGTATTAAAAATTTAATTGACAACGACGTCGAAGGGTTTGTGAGATAAATCAAAATCGATGATAAATTTAGTGAGAGTAGAATATGAAAAAAAAAGAAAAAAAAAAAAAAAAAAAGAAAAAAAAGTAATGAAAAGAACAGTATAAAAATCGATGCTAGTTTATATTGAAATTTTTCATTCTTCTTTTTTTTTTTTTTTCTCTCTTTCATTTCTTTCATAAGCATAAAATGCGCATATTGCGAACCATATTGAAGGTATTTAAGTTCTCATCTAACTCGGATACATTTTTTCGTTCTTTCTCGTAACGCAATTTGGAAAAACTTTGATTAGGTAAAGAACAATTATTATTTCAATTAGTTTTCATTGAAAATGATAGATATATACGTTCAATAGATTATTATCTAGGACGTTAACTGGGAATTTTCTCCGGATTAGCGCTTATACATATACATATATATATATATATAATATATAAATAAATATATATATATATATATATTATGTACACATAGAACGACAAACAAATATGATATGTAAAATTCTGAAACGATGCCAAACGAAAATCATAAAAGCGTATTACACGCTTCTCCGAGCTCGAAGATATCGAGAGAAAGAGAGAATAAAGAAGTAGGTATACATTAACTCTTTTTCTCTCTCTCTCTCTCTCTCTCTCTCTCTCTTTCTTTTCCAACTCGTAAAAACAAAGCAATAGTACTTGCCGTTTTTTAGACAATAGACTGCTACATACCGATAGGAAAGAAAACACTAGCCGTGAGGACCTTCGCAAATAAGAAAGGCTAGGTAAAATTTAAAAGAAAGGAAGTCTCGAGATGTCTGACCAATACACCTGTTTTACTACTATTGTAAACTCTATATTCGAGTACGTATACATTTCTTGATAGTTTCTTCGGGTTTTACAGCATGGAATAAAGATAAGAAATATATTATTATTTCTATTATTTCTCTTTTTTCTTTTTTCTTTTTTTTTTCTTTTCTTTTTTTTTTCTTTTTTTTTTTAGTTTAAGAAGATAAATAAGTAAATAGACAAATATTATTTTTAATAATATAAACAATTTTATATCTTCGTGTTTATTAGTTTTGACGATAGCCGTCGGATAATTTGTAATATACATAGAAAGAGAAAGAGAAAGAGAGACAGAGAGAGAGAAAACTTGATGTTTGACTCTTATAAAATATAAATATTTAAATTGGAAGTGTATTCTTTTTGCTTAATCAATTAATCAGGGGGGTCTGCTACTGTAAGCAAATGCCGAGAATCGCTAAACGCGAGATAGCTCAGCGAAATAGGGACGTTAGAAAGTTTCTTACTGCAGCAACGACGCGACTTGCCATTACGATGAGCATCAGCCAGTCCATGTTCCGTTGATGAAAGCAAAGAAGCGGAATGCACCATGGCAACGACGAATTCCTAACGCAGTTTGTTTTCTAACCTGGCAACGATGGCACAAACTTTCAAAATAGTTGTTAGTTCCGCGCATACTCGGAAATACTTCTGAAAAGGTATGAGTAGTAACATTGAGAGAAATACAGAAAGAGAGAGAGAGAGAGAGAGAGAGAGAGAGAGAGAAAGAGAAAGAGAAAGAGAGAGAAAGAAATAGGTCGATAAAAAACAATAATTGTTACATCACAGAGATATTTTGACGTTGCAAGAATTCTTATGCAATAACCAAAAATAATGTAGAATAGGAATTCGCTATAATAAGCATCCCTCGAATCGATTTTACAAAGTAAGCATATAATTGATCTATGTAACTCTCAGTATATATTAAGTATACCTATAACGTATTGCACCTACTTCAACTTCGCTTCGGTCTGATTACGAAATTGTTCAGAAAGGATTGTAAAATATCACTTTGTGAGAAAGATATTGTTGTTATCTTTCGTGTTTTCTATCTCTCTCTTTCTCTTTCTTTCTCTCTCTTTTTCTCTCTCTCTCTCTCTTTCTCTTTTATCTTTTTTGACAGAGAGGGAAATTGAACGAGCAATGTCTTTTTTTTTATACCTTCACGTTCTGAAATCCGATGCGTTTCAATAACTCCGTACCGATCGTAATGAATTATAAAAAAAAACGAAATTCGATATTCGAACGGCTTTGATACAAAGCAATGGCTCAAACTTTTTAACTGAAGTCCGAGCTATTGGACGTAATTGCAATTTTTTTGCGAATACCTATTCGAGTTCATATTATACGAGATGAACTTTAGAAGAGACGAAGTAAATGTATTTTTATATATACATATACATATATATATATATATATATATATATATATATATATATATATATATATAACAATAAATTATTAAGGATTAAAATGATTTTCGTATAACCCGGTGATTATGAAAGTTGCTTATAAAAAAAAAAAAAATTAGGAAAATATATTTCTTGTAAATTCGAATCATATCACATACGTAAAAAAAAAAAAAAAAAACAAAAAAAAACAAAAGAATTCAATTTCTTTTTCTCTTGCGTTTCTTTTTTTCTTTTTTTTTTTTTCTTCCTTCTCTTCTTCTTTTTTCTGTTTAGAATTTTTAATTCATATTACTTTCATAATTACTATAACACCCTTAATGAGACTTAAAAACGATTTAACGTCTCTCAACGTGAACGTTTAACGCTTAGCATGGTTTTTGTTCGCATACCAGCTGCTTAAGAGAAAAGTTCTTTTCTTCGGGAAGAAAAGTTAAACTTTTAAGTTTTTAAGGATATGCATGCCTCTGTTATTAGACTTACCTCTCTTGGAAGCGTGAAAACTGTCTTGCGGTTTTATCTGTTCAATCTGGGCACTGAGACGAGACTTGGGCAGGATGTCCCTGTTGGCGTTGATTTTTTCTACGGCGTAACGAAAGGCCACTTCCTGTTTGTCGTCGGACGAATGAAACAGCCCACCTGGGAAATCATACATCCATATTAAAGGTTTATACTTTTGACGAGGAATACCGAGTACTATATTCTTCGTCTTATTTCTACTTTCTTTATTTTCTCATAACCAACAACAAGTTATCCATCTGCGAATAAAATTTGTATTCACTTTTTCTCTTATATTTATATTATACGTTACATATATGTTTTGCCATTTTTTCCTCTTGTTCTAATAAAAAAAAAAAAGAAAAAAGAAAAAGAAAAAACAAAAAAGAAAGAAAGGACGAATTATCTATCTTTTTTTTATTTATTAATAATATTTGACTTTACGTAATATCTCGAATTTTGTTTTCTTTTTTTTTTTTTTTTCTTTTTTTTTTTTCTTTCTTTTTGTTTTCCCCCAAGGTTTATTAACTCTTCAATTATTTTGTACCTTTATATGATATATTAAAATATTAAATGGCAAATTAATAATCGAATGATAATCATAAAATTCGATAAATCGGAATTATATCGAAGTATTGAAACATTAATGAGAAAGAGAACGTTTGTTAAATCTATTGACCTTTCTACTACAGAATCATCGAGAGTTAGCTCGATATGGAAGTCAAGTATTCGCTAAGTGTCCACTAGAACGATGCTATAGGTGACCTAGTTTTTAAAATTTTTACTATTGGACTCAGTAGTTTCTCTCTCTCTCTCTCTCTCTCTTTCTTTTCATTTCTCTCTTGGACGTAAAGGATGATCGCTGAGGACTAACGATTGAAAGGAAAGCAAGAAAGTTAGCGAAGTTAAGTGTAAAAATTCCTGACAAAGCGTTTTCTTACTTCCGAGTAAACTTGAAATTATTTCGACGATGACGAGATAAGACAACGTGCTCTTTCAATGTCGGGAAGGGAAGATACACCTCGACATTAAATTTCGTGGATTCGAGCCGAGCGACGCCATAAATTGATTTTAATCTCGTGTACGTCATAAAGTAACTGTGAGCGAGAGCAGCTGTGCCAGCTCTCGACCCCATACGATTTATAGAATACGCGCGATAGATAGCTACCTACCTGGTCTCTCTATGTCTGTCTCCCCTCCCCCACTTCTCTCTCTCTCTCTCTCTCGCTCTCTCGTTCTATTAATTAATTAATTTCCATCGAGGTAGATAGCAACGAAATTGCAGTAATCAAGCTGACGGTAGAGGACTAACGTTGACGCTCTCGAATCTCGTTAGGTCAGCGACATCATAATTTACTAGAAAGTCTAACGAACGATAAGAAACAACGATCAATGTGATCGGACCAAAGTGATTGATCGTTTTCGAAAACGAACAAGAAATTTCTTTTAATTTTCTAATAATATAATTTTTCTTTTGGTGTCTGAAAATGAAATTAAATATTATATAACGCGGTGAAGCTTATATCATAGTTAGGAAACGTTATGTTATATTTTGTGGTATTAAAGAAATATAAATTTATGGTGTGACTAAGAAAATTAAATCAATAAAGTCAATGAAATGATCTTGATGATTTTTCACGTTAATCCGATGCCGAAGTTAATTCAGTATTTTTTTTTTTTTTATTACTCTTTTATTATTATTATTATTATTTATTTATTTATTTTTTTTTATTTCTTTATAGTCGAAGAACTTTTCAATTGGATTCATCGTTTTCGAAACATATCAGCAATCACTTTCTTCTATCGAGAGGAACCCTCGAATTAATAAATCTTGAATATTCATTGATTTTTAATGAATTATTTTCTGCCAGTCGAGCGGTCATTCAGGCAGAACGTAACGTGACTTTCACAATGGTCCATTTCGCTTCGATCTCGGCTAACCTCGATTGTTCCTTTATCGTTACAACAAAATAGAAACGATATAAATGAATTTTGCTTCGATAGAACGAACATAGGAAAATAATTGTATGTTCTATTTCGAAAATATATTCATTAAGCATATTTAGGAAATAAATGTTAAATTATGTAAATTTATATTTCAAAGAAAGATCGAACAAATTGTTTCTATAGTACATTGGAAAAAGGAATAAAAGAAAAAAAGAAAAATCAATCGAAATTTGAATCTAATTCGTATATTTTCGATTAACAATAATTTATATCCGAGAGATAAAATTGACAATTTTTTGCTGTTGCATTTAATGCAATTAATTCGTCACGACGATTAACCTTTTTCGAACTTGTATACTTATTTATTCTTTTTTATTCCTTTTTACCTTCTTTCTTTTTTTTCTCTTTACACGCTGTTAAATTATCGAGAAACTCTTACTAGTACTATGGCTTTGTTCGATATACTCCTTCTCTACTTGAGGATGTAACAATGTGTAAAGCAAAGAAGAGAGAGAGAGAGAGATCAGGGCAAAAGAAAATGGAAACGATTACGAGAAAAGTTCGTGAACGATGTATAAAGAAACACTTTTAATCTGACGAGAGTATTAAATCCTTGCCTTTTTCACTTAAAAGATAAAGTTGAAGTACTATTACAAACAGACATACACAAATATATATATATATATATATACACAGATACATATGAAAGTTAATTTTCTTAAATGAGTATAAATTATCTGATTCTTTTAGTCATAAATTTTATAAATAATCTAATGGGTGTTAGTTAATAGCCTTAGAAATGTTTCTTCATAATTTTAGAATTTAGAAAATTAATGATCAAGCTTGATGAAAATAATGGATCTTTTTTTCTATTCTCTTTTTTTTCTTCTTTTTTTTTTTTTTTTTTTTTTTTTTTTTAAGAAAATTTATAAGAAGATAATCAGTGATGAATAAATTCACGTTTCATAATTTGACCGGGAGAACTTTTAGGACTATCGATAAGGTATACAAAGAATGGAAGCATCCTTTTTCCTTAAAGCTCGAGGGAATTTAGAAAGATACTTACCTATCCTAATGATATCAGGAAGAGCCGCGGCATGGGCGGCGAGGAGCGCCAGTAGGAGCCACCTCGCAGCCATTTCCGGTTCCGGTTCGCCCCACCGTCTCTCTTCTCTCTTCCACCCTTGTAACAACTGCTACCACCCTCTTCTATCTTTACTCTTCTCCTTTTCTTCCTCCACCTCCTCTTCCTCCTCTTTCTTTTTCTCTTCCTTCAACGACTATCCTTCTCGTCTTCTTCTCCAGCTTCTCGTGACTCACTCGAAGAAATTCACGCCG